GGCTGGGGGGGGGCGGGGGGGGGGGGGGGGGGGGGGGGGGGGGGGGGGGGGGGGGGGGGGGGGGGGGGGGGGGGGGGGGGGGGGGGGGGGGGGATTCACATGAACGTATATGAACGCGCAGCCGGACCGGCTTGTAAACAATGGGCTGGAGATCAACACAGAGAGAGGGTGTGTGAGGTCATGCTATACTCCAGATGAAATTACACCTCTAGTTCTTCACATAACAATTTTTTAATTCCTTCAATCTAGAAATGATGAATTTTGCTTATTGCTCCTTTAAGAGAGCATTTTGAGGCAACTGAACCTGCTACTTTCTGGCTACAGACTGTGTCTGAGAGTGTGTTCCCTGGTCTAACCAAAGTAGCACTGCACACCTTGACTATCTTTGGATCGACTTACAGCTGTGAGTCAGCTTTTTCCACTATGAACATTATCAAAAACAAGTACCGTTCTAGGCTCACCAGTGAACACCTACATATCTACATGAGAATGGCACTGACTCCATTCCAACCAAGATTTAAATTACTGGCAGGGCAGTCACATGCCCATTTCTCTCATTAAGAAAAGTTAAAAAAAAAGAATAATTAAAAGAGGTTGTGTTCAAAGCTCTGTTTGTATTTTTTTCCTAAAAGAGACACTTTTTAATAATTGTTTTCTGAAGATGTTGACTTTCTTTTTACTTGAAAAGTAGGCTTTCAGTTTTTTTAGGCTGGGACCTCTTTAATGTAAGAAAAAGGAAGAGAAAAATGTTTAGTCAATGCCCTGTTTGCACTTGTTTTTTCCTAAAAGAGCCACTTTTCATTCATTGTTTTCTGAAGATGCTGACTTTTATACTTGAAGTGTAGGCCTTCAATTCTTTAGGCTGGGACCTCTTTAATTTAAGAGAAAAAGGGTTATTCGGCTCTGTTTGCACTTTTTTATTTATTTTATTCTGAGGTTTCTGTTTTCTTTAATCTGCAATAAAGGTCTTAAATTTATTTGCCTGGGACTACTTTTATTTATGGTAAAAGAGCTAGCTGTGCACTCAGTTAAACATTTCCTGCATTAAAATTGACAATAAATATTGTTGAAACCATATGAAAATGTGGACATAGGGGAAGGCTATAAGACACAAGCTGGACTTCAGTTTGGACCTTTTACTTGGAGGAGATTTTAATAACTGACCTCAGTGACTTTTAATTGAATACTCCTGCTGTAGATGGTGATAAACCATATTTTACACCATTTAACAGCTCATGGGGCACATACTGTACCACACAAACAACTTTTGCAGTCACCAACAAGGTATTCTAGATCTAAACTGACAGGTAAGACCCCCCCTTCCCACACACACACCCTAGTAGACTATCATTTCTGCTCAAACGCAGATCCACACAATGCTGAACCAGAACCAAAAACACTATGCCTTTTGTGTTAGTCAGGCACAGGTCTAGAGCCTTTATGGTAACACATCTGCCTTCCTCTTTGGCATGTTGATAGTCCGCCCAAAAATCTAAATGTGTCAGCTGTTTTCTTAAGGCCAAAACACATCGGCCGCGTCATATGATGGTGGCGTCATTGACGCGAGTCGAGTGCCGCCCCCAACACATACAAAAAGCGTCGCGCTGCGGGGTGTCAAATGGATTTCTAATGCACACTCCAGTCCGCGAGAGCTGGGAAGTAGCCTACAAAATAGCGTTTTTTCAAGGGCGGCGACGCTGTGTGGCACGTCGACGCGCATTGAGCCGCCGCTGGTGTGGGTTTGTAAATTGAAAATAAATGGGGGCGGCTGTTTTGACGCGCGTCGTACGGTGCCGGTGTGTTTTGGCCTTTACTTTGAAAATAGTCTAATAGTAAAAACAAAGCAACATTCCACATTGTAGATCCTGTACTGGTCCCAATATTGAAATGGATGGATAAAATAGGACTCACTCTATAGGCTCAGAAGCCTGGGCTAGAGTGACTCTCATCTTTTCCATTAATTCAGAAGTGAGAAACATATGGATCCTGTAGAATAAGGATTTATTTTTCTATTACACTATTTTCAAGGTAAGAAAACAGCTCACAAAGTTTGATTTTGGGGTGGTCTGTGACTTTAAGTAGTAGCTAGGTTAATATTTCAGTTTTCAAAGTACCCTAATGCAAAAGATTCTATCAAATGTACTGTACTGTGGCCTTTGTTCTGTTGTAACTGTGTAATCTGTTGTTTTATTTTATTTTAGCTTGTTTTTATTTTATTCTATTGTACCTTTATTTTTATTTTTCTATTTTAACTTTTTAACTCTTTCTTCTATGTTAATATTTTTATATTTCCTTTGTGTTGCTTCTACATTTTTACCAAATTGATACTATATGTTGATATTTGTATGTAAAGCACTATGAGTCAATTTCTTTTAAAAAAAAAAAGCTTTCAGTACACATGGATTTTAGTTGTTCAACTACCCAACCAGATTAAACTCCTGCATACCTGAGTGAAAACTACTGTAAGGGGGTGCCTATTATAAAAGATAATATCAAAAAGGCAAAAGCCTAACTAAACCACCACTCAAAAGACTATTAAAATTAAATAATATAGATATTCCATGGTGGAAAGTAACTGAATACATTTATTAAAGTATTGTACTTAAGTACAATTTTAAGGTACTTGTACTTTGGGTGTTTCCATTTTATGTAACTTTATACTTCTACTCCACTACATTTCAGAGGGAAATATTGTACTTTCTATTCCACTACATTTATCTGACACCTTTATATTACGTCAATAATCTTATAAACGACTCTTTATTGTTAAAGATTAAACCAATGGTCCCCAAACTGTTTGGCTTGTGGACCTTTACAAAAAAAAAGAAAAAGATGTGTATTTGTCTCTGTCAAAACTGTTTGCGGCCAAAACAGGTAAAACTCTCCAATATTTCACAAAGGTAGGATTTTAAATGCAGGACTTTTACTTGTTAGTGGTGTTGTTTAAGGATATGAGTACTTCTTCCACCACTGTCTATAACTTACTGATGTCTAAACGTAACGTTATCTCTACAACCAGCTAACATTAATCCATTGTCTCACTGCTTGACTGAGCACCAGTGTAAGCTAACATTCACATAATATATGACATCTTACATTGAAATGTCAAGCCATAGACACACATTAGCATTCATCTGTAGTCTAGACACCTGACACAATATAATTCTGAAACTCTGAAAGTGAGAAAGGAAAGTGTCTTAAACTAGCTAGATAGCTACTTACATTAAAGCAACTCGTACCTTTCTTGCATTTCACACAGCACTTAGAAAAAATCCACAAATCCCGCCTCCATCCAGAGTCCCATCCCCCTCCTCCTGCAACTCCACCTCCCTCCAAAGACCTACTCCTCCCTCCTCCATTACATCCTCATTACGTCTATGATAGACGTAGGCATTGGCAAGGTAACGTTAGATACAGGGAAGAGGAGAGCAAGTGTAACGTTACAACCAAGACAGTCAAATGTGGCCCCGGAGTTTTAAAACTCAATTTGAGTCAGTGATGACTGATGAGTTTTAGAATAAGGTTACAGTGCTAACTTTAGATAGTAGCATCGTTAACATTACTAGTAAGTGGAAATGCACAAGGAGGATAACGTTAATGTTTCAGAGGCTATGCTACAGTAGGCTAACATTAGCCATTAGCAACTGGATGCTGTGTTGTCATATATAATGTTATGAACTGAAGTGAACTTCTTTATTTGTCCTTTTTTATGCGCAGCACAAAAACGAAATGACATCGCGCATACCCCAAGCAAAAAGAAACAAAACATTTAAAAACAATTTGTGTAACATATAAAGAACATATATATAACGTATAAATATACGGTAGATATTGGGGGGTTTTTTTGTAAAAAGGATCCTGTCCTAGTTTTTGATTTGTTTCTAGTTCACTTCAAATGTGTTTTTGTGTCCAGTTGACACTTCTGTCTGTCCTTTCAAAGAAAACCTAATAAAAAGTGATTAACAAAATAAGGACAAATAAATAAGAAGCTACTAATTGAAAAAGTGGAGTACTAACTGGGTTTGATTACAGTGTGCATGTCTTCTGTTTCTTTACCTGTCAGACTTGAGAAGATGAGTGATTTGGGGGAAGAGGAGGACAGAGCAGGGTCTTTAGTGTCCGGCTGCCTGTCTATGAAGAGTGACCAGTCCAAAGACATTCCTTTATTCTTCAGTAATGAACCTGGACCATCAGATATAAAGTGAGAGACTGTTTCTACTGTAAAGATGCACTGTTCTTTAATCATTACATGAGTTTTTTTTTATTCAACCACCAAGGTTATCCTGAACAAGTTTTTTGGGCCCCAGGCTGAGATCTTTAAAGTTGGATATAAGTTGCAGCCTGTAACTTTTTCTTCTTTTTTTTTTAAATGAATCTGACTCACTGAAATAATAACTGTAGATACAAATTCTGACACACCTCATTTTAACTACCTACTTGATCTAAAAACTAAAGGTCTCGATTCAAAACTATACAGTTGATCTGTTGAAATTATCGATATGATATGAATCAAAGTTTAACTGGAAGAATGTCACTCATTAGAAAAAAGAGGTCCCACTCTTTGTGAGTGTGACTCGAGTGAACTACAGTAAGACTCAGTCCAGTCTGATTGTACAGTGATGTTACAGAATGGAGCTCCTTTCTTTACCAATGATCTTTGGCTGAGAAAAGACACTGGCTGTGCTTTAACCAGACAACCTTTAGTTTTATTTTGGCCTGCCATCAGGTTTCTCATTGAATTAACATTAATTAGTGACAGCTGATCTTACCAAACACGGTCTCAAAGAAAACTGTGAAATGGACATGATGTCTTACAGCTAATTACATTGTGGTGAGCACAAAATAATAATAATAAAAATAATAATAATAATAATAATAATAATAATAATAATAATACTTTTATTTGTATAGCGCTTTTCAAAACACTCAAAGACACTTTACAAAAACAGAAAAAACAAGATAAAAACAACATAAGAGCAGCAAAGCACAGTTAAGAGAAGGAATCGGGATGGAATGCAAGTCTGAACAGGTGGGTTTTGACCAAAGAGTTGACGGAGTTTAAGTCTGTCCAGTTACGGATGTGTTGGGGGAGAGAATTCCAGAGGGAGGGGGCAGCAATGGAGAAGGTTTTGTCCCCCCAGGTTTTGTGCTTTGTCCTGTGTGGTAGAGAAAGGAGATTTGCATCAGAGGAGCGGAGACTGCGGAAGGGGGTGTGATGGTGCAACAGGTCAGTGAGGTAAGATGGGGCCTGGTTATGGAGGGCTTTGAAGGTGAGGAGAAGGACTTTGAACTGAATGCGTTGAGGAATTGGGAGCCAGTGGAGGTTCTGGAGGACTGGCCTGATATGGTCACGGGAGCGGGACTGGGTGAGGAGACGGGCAGCAGCATTCTGGATGTATTGTAGTTTGTTGAGGACTTTAGAAGATGAACTATACAGAATGCTATTGCAGTAGTCGAGTCTGGATGTTATGAATGCGTGAATCAGAGTTTCTGCAGTGGAAAAGGTGAGTGAGGGGTGGAGCCGAGCTATGGTTTTTAGATGGAAGAAAGTAGTTTTGGTGCTATGATTAACGTGCGGTTCAAATGAAAGGTTGCTGTCGAAGTGACTCCGAGGTTGGTGTAGATGTGGAGATGGAGAAAGTGTTGAATTTGTAACATTAAGGCTGAAATTATGGATGGTTTTAGTAAGGGAACTAGGGCCGATTAGGATCATGTCTGATTTGTCACGGTTGAGTTGTAGAAAGTTAGTTTGCATCCAGGATTTTATTTCAGTGAGGCAATTTTCAAGTGTGGAGCAGATTGCTGTAGTGATGGATTTGGTGGCGATGTAGATCTGGACATCGTCGGCATAGCAGTGGAAATGGAGGCCATATCGGCGGATGATGTTACCAAGTGGGAGGATGTAGAGGATGAAAAGGAGAGGACCAAGCACAGAACCCTGGGGGACGCCTTGGGACAGAGGAGCGGTAGAGGAGGTGCAGTTATTGATATGGATGAATTGCTGTCTGTTGGAGAGATATGATCTGAACCAGGAGATAGCTTTGCCAGTGATGTTGTAACAGGTTTTAAGACAGGAGAGGAGGGTGGAGTGATTAATTGTGTCAAACGCAGCAGTGAGGTCGGGCATGATGAGGATGTTGAGGTGTCCAGAGTCGGCGGAGAGGAGGAGGTCATTGGTGACTTTGAGAAGAGCTGTTTCAGTGCTGTGTTGTGACCGGAATCTGCATTTAAATGTCTCAAATAGGTCATTGGCGGTGAGGTGGGTTTTGAGGTGAGTGACAACAACGCGCTCCAGGATTTTTGACAGAAAGGGGAGGTTGGAGATGAGCCGGAAGTTGGTCATGATGTCGGGATTGAGTCCGGGTTTTTTGAGGATGGGGTTGACAGCGGCGAGTTTCAAAAGATCTGGGACTGAGCCGTAGCTGAGGGAGGCATTGATAGTTCTGGAGATGAGTGGGGAGATAGAAGGGAGACAGGACTTAACAATTGAGGAAGGGATTGGGTCATGAACTGATATAGAGTTACTCATACCTGTAGTGGCTTTTGTGAGGTTCAGAGGAGTCAGTGGGGGGAAGTGTGACAGTGGTGGGACGGAGGTGGGGGGAAGAGCAGGTGGAGGGGTCGGAAAGGGAGGGAGGTGGTCAGGTTGCTGTAGATGGTGTTGATTTTTGTTTGGAAGAATGACAAGAATGAGTTGCACTTGTCGACTGTGAAGGATGTGGAGGTGTTGTCGATGGGTTTGAGAAGTTTGTTTATTGTGGAGAAAAGAGTTTTGGGGTTGTTGGAGCCAGAGTGTATGAGATGAGAGTAGTAGTTGGACCGGGCTGTGTTGGGGGTGTTCTTGTAGTGTAGCAGGTGGTCTGTGTAGGCTTGAAGGTGAACTGTTAGGCTAGTCTTTTTGTTGAGTCTTTCCAGCTGATGCTTTCGAGATTTCATGGCGTGGAGCTAAGGAGTGTACCAGGGGGCACAGTGAGTGAAGGAGACGGTTTTAGTTTTGATGGGGGCCAACTGAATTAGGCAGGAGGAGAGGGTGGTGTTATAATAGTGGACAAGGTCAGTGGGGCCGTCAGAGAATGGGGGAATGGAGGTAGATATTATGCTGGTGAGTGAGGCTGGGAGAGCTGAGGGAGTGATGGATATGAGATTTCTAAAGGATATTGTGCATTTTACTTCAGGAGTGGGGATGGGGATATTAATGTCCATAGTGATTGCCAGGTGGTCAGAGATATGGAAGTTGATGCTGGAGAGGTGGTGTAATGTTAGACCAGTTGAGCAGACCAGATCCAGGATGTGTCCATGTGAGTGAGTGGGGAAGTTAACATGTTGTGTGAAGTTGAAGCAACGTAAAAGATCCAGAAATTCAATGGCAGATTTGCAGACAGTATTATCGATGTGGAGATTGAAATCGCCGAGGAGGAGAACATAAGGTCAAATGGCTCAGACCTGGGTAAAAAAAAAAACAGAAAAATCAGACAGGAAGGGGGGGGGCGGTAGATGATGGCAGAGACAAGGGGAGTCAGACCAGAGAGTTTGAAGACAAGATGTTCAAATGAGTTTACTGCTGGGATGGATGTGGTTATTTTGATGTCCTTCCGATGAATAGCAGCAACACCACCTCTGCGGCCTTCAGGGCGAGGTTTGTCAGTGTATGTGAATCCGGTGGGTGTGGTCTGATTAAGTGAAAAATAGTCCAGGGGTTTGTGCCATGTTTCAGTGATGCAAAGAAAATCCAGGTTGTTGTTGGTGATTAATTCATTCAGGGTGAGGCTTTTGTTGTTCAGAGATTGTGTGTTGAATAGAGCCAGTTTCAGATGACGTTGCTTTTGGACGGTTTGAGAGTCTGAGGTTTGCCTCCTATTTACCTGACAGGTCTTTCTCTGTTAAGATTCATGGCCTCTCCTCTTCTGCCCACATCACCTGTGGTGTACCTCAATGTTCTATCTTAGGGCCCATTTTATTTGCACTGTATATGCTTCCTCTAGGCTCCATTTTCTGCCAGCACAATGTCTCCTTTCATTGTTATTGATTTTAAGGTCTTTTTATTTATTTTTTAAAGCCATACATGTGCTGGCATCCCAGTATATTGCTGAACGTCTCTGTCCCTGCCCCAGCTCCCCACCTCTTAGATCTTCAGAACAATGTCTTTTAACTGTCCCACGACTGAGGCTGGTGAATAAGGGGGATTGTGACTTTGCGGTAGCTGCTCCAAAGCTCTGGAACAGCCTTCCACTCTCAATCAAATGCTCCCCCTCCAATGACACCTTTAAGACAAATCTTAAGACATACATATTTTCAATGTCGTTTGCTTGCTCATAGTGGTTTTAATATTTTAGTATTTTATCATTTGTTTACATATGTAATTGTTCTTACTAGTGTTATTCTGTTTTATATTTGTGTACGTTATATTGCTATATATTTGTATGTCATTCTTTTAATTTATACAGCACATTGGTTAAGTGTACTTGATTTTAAATGTGCTATATAAATACATTTGATTTGATTTGATTTGATTTGCAAGATATGCAGACTCCATGGTAATATAATATATGCATAATATATTGAAGAATGAGTTCACCTCCACAGAGAGAAGAAGAAGAGGTGTCATGTTTCTGTGGAGGAGCAGAGTTCCTGCTGTGCTTTGTGTCAGGACGTCCTGAAGGATCCTCTCTCTACCAGCTGTGGACACTGGTTCTGCAGACAGTGCATCACCTCATACTGGGACCAGTCTGCTTCATCAGGAGACTCCTTGTGTCCCCAGTGTGGAAAAAAACCCAGAACAAGAGCTGGACTGCAGACAGCCAGTCAGACCAGTGCTGTACAAGGTAAGACTGTGCATCTGTTTGATGATGTCATTACATATTTTTATAAAAATCCAATTGTTTTGTGTTACTTAATGTTGGTCATGAAAATAATTACCAGATTCTCAAAATCGTTTTCTTTTGTCTCAAATCTTTTCTTCTCTTTCAGCAGATGTTTGTCTGCAGGAGGTTTTAGATGAACACAAGATCAGTCTGAAGAGGAGATGTGAATGTGTGACTGAGGGAACTGATGAAACAGGAAGTGGAACCCACCACAACAGGATCTACACTGAGCTCTACATCACAGAGGGACAGAGTGAAGAGGTTAATACCCAACATGAGGTGAGGCAGCTTGAGACAGTTTCCAAGATGAAGACACTACATGACAATCCAATCAAATGCCACGACATCTTTAAAGCCTTACCTGACCAACAGGAACACATCAGAGTCATTCTGAAAAAAGGTGTCGCTGGAATTGGAAAAACCATCACAGTGCTGAAGTTCACTCTGGACTGGGCAGAGGGTTTGGAAAACCAAGATGTCAGTCTGGTGATTCTGCTTTCGTTCAGGGAGCTGAACTTGATCAAAGATGAGCAGTACAGTCTTCTCAAGCTGCTCCATGATTTCCATCCAACATTACAGAAAGTCAAGGCAGAGGACCTCGCTGTCTGTAAAGTTCTGTTCATCTTTGACGGCCTGGATGAAAGCAGACTTTCATTGGATTTCCACAACAATGAGGTTGTGTCTGATGTCACACAGGAGTCATCAGTCAATGTGCTGTTGACAAACCTCATCAAGGGGAATCTGCTTCCATTGGCTCTTGTCTGGATAACTTCCCGACCTGCAGCAGCCAATCAGATCCCTCCTGCATGTGTTGACAGGGTAACAGAAGTAAGAGGCTTCACTGACCCACAGAAAGAGGAGTACTTCAGGAGGAGAGTCAGTGATGAAGAGCTCTCCAGCAGAATCATCTCACACATCAAGACTTCCAGGAGCCTCCATATCATGTGTCTAATCCCAGTCTTTTGCTGGATCACTGCTACAGTTCTGGGTCACATGTTGACCACAGAGCAAAGAGGAGAGCTGCCCAAGACCCTGACTGAACTGTATTCACACTTCCTGTTGGTTCAGACAAAGAGGAAGAAGCAGAAGTATGATGAGGGACATGAAACGTGTCCACAGGAGCTGACAGAGGCAGACAGGGACATTCTCCTGAAGCTGGGGAGGCTGGCGTTTGAACATCTGGAGAAAGGAAACATCATGTTCTACCAGGAAGACCTGGAGCAGTGTGGTCTTGATGTCACAGAGGCCTTGGTGTACTCAGGAGTTTGTACAGAGATCTTCAAAAGAGAGAGTGTGATCTTCCAGAAATCAGTCTACTGCTTTGTTCATCTGAGCGTTCAGGAGTTTCTGGCTGCAGTCTACATGTTCCACTGTTACACCAACAGGAAGACAGAGGTACTGGAGGACTTCCTGGGGAAAGACTGGAACTACAAACACAGAGATTCAAACTCACAGTGTTTTCTCAAGAAGATTTCTAAGTATCTTGAAACAAATGAAGATGAGTACTGTGATTATAAGAATTACACTGACTCATCCCTGGACGTCTTCTTAAGGAAGGTAATGACCAAATCACTTGAAAGTAAAAATGGTCACCTGGACCTGTTTGTTCGCTTCCTTCATGGCCTGACACTGGAGTCCAACCAGAGACTGTTAGGAGGTCTGCTGGGTCAGACAGACAACAGTTCAAGAAGCATCAGAAGAGCCATCAAAAACCTGAAGGAGATGAGCAGTGATGAGATCTCTCCTGACAGAAGCATCAACATCTTCCACTGTCTGGTGGAGATGAACGACCACTCAGTTCATCAGGAAATCCAAGAGTTCCTGAAGTCAGAGAACAGATCAGAGAAGAAACTCTCTGAGATCCACTGCTCAGCCCTGTCCTACATGCTGCAGATGTCAGAGGAGGTTCTGGATGAGTTGGACCTGAATAAGTACAACACAACAGAGGAGGGACGACTGAGACTGATTCCAGCTGTGAGGAACTGCAGAAAGGCTAAGTGAGTCCAGATGTAATTAACATTATTAATCAGTGTAGATTAGTGGTTAAGGTCTTCCAATATGCACACACCACAAAATTTTAATTATTCTTAAAATACTGTTACACTTGTAGGTTCTATTTTTATCACAAGGGTACTTGAGCTGGTTCAAATCGTGCAGAAGTAAAACATTTTGATTTCAGTTAGTTGTGTTTATAACTGTCAGGTTATTAAACATAGTTCTGTTTATTTGTAATAATTCTTGATTTTACTGTTTTTTTTTGTGTTTATCCTATTTTGGGTGATGGAAAAATAAATCAAGGACTTTAGAAACTGTGGTTGAAGTTTTATTATAGCAGCATTTTATCACAATATATGGTATTATTATACGGTTATTACTGTATGCAGTAAAGTTATTGTTACACGAGTCTGTTTTGCAAGTTATCTCATATAATAATAGCTTGCTAAGCCCATCCTGATGACATGGGCTCAACACTCTGTTTCGCTCTCTGTATCAGTCTAAAAATTGCTGCTGCTTCAAACACTTTCCAGAACTGAAATCTAGTTGGGCCAATCAGGGGTCTGCACCACAGTGACAATGTAAGCAGCCAATCGGGGACTGTGTTGTAGTTGATGATGTAAAATGCAGGCCGCTGCTTACAAAACTCTGGGTCCGCACCATTACCCCACTGGCGTATGCCAGCTGTGCGCCGAGTAGGTGAAGTCTGCAAACCATTTGTCCGATATTATAGCTGGCAGATCAGCCAGATATGTTGCTATATTTGAGTGGCATATGTCACCATGACCACATGGCTCATTCAAACACAAATAAGTCAAGGGAGACTGATAAAACAGAAAACTGATGAATGTCATTCAGACTTACAGGAGATCATACTTTGAACATTACTATCCACGTAGGTTATTATTTGCAAATTAAGAACGCTACCATGGCTTTAGCTCTGTAGGCCGTTGTTTGTTTTGTCAGCTGACAATTACATGGTTGCTACTGTCTGCTGACAGATTACATTCCATTTAAATTGCTTTCCCAATCCTCGCAGTTACGTGGTAAGTGGTGCACCAGTGCACTGAAATGGAGCGGGCCCAGTAATCGTGGCTCCCAGAGCAACAAGCAAGCAATACAATTTCACCTGTAGGCGGGGCTAAAAGATTTGAAAAATTGCTGTTGTAGCAGCAGCTGCAGCTGGGAGCAGAATCAGCCCCAACTAACGGCTTTGAGCTCTCACACCCATTTTCTTCAGAAAATACAAATATTGTAGTTTATAAATACAACCTTTATTTAATCAGATCTCTCTCCAGCCTGAGAGATCTTTCAGTCCAGCATGTCTGATTTGAATTGAGCCTCTTATGATAGACTTGACTGAGATCAGCAGCATATTATTAATCAGTGTGTTATGGTAACATTAGGATGATGTCTGTAGGAGGCTGACATTAGGATGATGTCTGTAGGAGGCTGACATTATGATGATTCACAACAACACAATGACAAATGACAAACGTTAGCAGAGTGAACACAGCAATAAGTTAAAATTATTGCAAAAATAGAGTCACTAACAAAGTTGAGTTTCTCAGAGGAAAAATACATTTTTGCCATTGGGCTAACTGGATTTGGCAAAAGCTTGATTTATCAACTGGCTCCGTTGGTGGTTAAGAAGTTCCCTGGTGTTTTGTTAGGCTGATTGGCTGAAGGAGTTTGTTTGTCAAGGTGAGTGCTCCTGCCCACTGGAATTGTTTGGAGCAGCAGTGATGCCAAACTGATACAGAGAGTTAAACAGAATGTTAAGCTCACATAATCAGGATGGTCTTAACAGGCTAATATATTAAGACATACAAGTAATACCTGATTTCAACCTACAGGAAACACTGATAACATATCTTTTCATTTTTGTGCCATGATAGACTGTCTCGCTGTGGAATCTCAGAGACTCACTGTGAAGTTGTGGCCTCAGCTCTGAAGTCCAACCCCTCCCATCTGAGAGAGTTGGACTTGAGTTACAACACATTGCAGGATTCAGCTGTGAACCAGCTATCTACTGGACTGGGGAATCCAAACTGTAAACTGGAGACTCTGAGGTCAGTCCACTGACTGTAGCTTATGTAGTTTTACATGTACAATTCAAATCAAGTAAATGTATGAATTAAAATTTGATATCTCGGTCAGAGCAGAAATCTTAAGAATTTTCACATTTTCTGAAGTTTACGGTCTTTCCAAATGGCTGAATATTTGGTAGCGTAATGAAAAATTATTGGAATAACATGCATGAGAGGACTGGCCCATCAGTCAATGAAGATGATGTCAATACTGATGGGGCTGTAGAGCCTGTGAGGGCTATGTAAAAGGTTTTTGAAGATCTGATGATAGCAGATGAAAACAAAACAAAAAAAAAACATTACTAGGTCTTGTGGCATGTTTTGCTTAAAATAATTTCCATTTAATAGAATTTTATTCATACATTGCATTTTGCAGTGCACTCTTCCATTACATGTGCAGATCATTTGCCAGCATCACATTTAATTGGAATTCAATGAAATCACAACCCTTTACACACACATTGCCTTCTTCAATCACATGTGCAGCCCGCAATACTGCCAACACTACTGCATTGTCTGAGTCAAAGAACTAAGTCTTAACTTATTCTGAGCGCTGCTTTGTTACTTTATATACTGCGTGTTGAAACCTGTGATATTTCTAAAACATTACCAGTGAATTAAAAAAAAAAATACAGCAGTCAGCCCAGTTAATGTGAGCAGATATTGAAGTGGCAAATCCTCTCGATGACGGCAACAAACTTGGTCACTAAAATAGTGTTTGTGATTTAGAGCAAGAACAGAATATACTCTTTTTAAGCTGTTTATCTTTGACAAATGAGACATGGCTTGCCATGACTCTGAAGAAGACGCAGTAGCGTCGAAACGTCAGTTTGTTTGCACCTTATTAAAAGCTCTGCAATTTTATCGAGTGCTCCAGCCTCCTTTCATTTGGGTTCAGTCATTTTTTGAAGTGGCCCACTTGATTTAGTGTCTAAATGAGACATGGCATTTACACAGAGCTCTTTAGATCAGAAAGTTCAGCAAATTTTAAAAAAAATGGAGTTTCTCCTTTGTTCATCAGATAAAAGAAAGGCCAAATGAAATCATTCCTTCACAGTTTCTCACAAAGGCTTCTTCACACCTTCTTGAGAAGCTTGCTAGTTCAAACATGATTAGCCACTCTGACATGTGACCCCTTGTAATGTCACCAAGCTAACGAAAGAAGAATTTTCTGCTCTTCATTATTTTTTTACTTTTGGAACCTCCAGAGAGGTGGCTTCTTGGGCAGCTGGACCTGTGACACCCTTCTCCTGCTTTTCCTTACCTGTCTGCATGCTCACAGCAGAAAATACTCTCTGATCTGAACATGGCCTGCTCACGCAGCCACACTACAGAGTTAGCACTGAACTGCTAACTGTAAGGACACACAGAGCAAACTGCACCACTGGAACATAGCACAGCAATAAATGCATCTGGAACCACAAGTCTTTCCAGCTTTGCTCTGACAGAATCGCTGGCCCATGCAGTACAACAAAGTAACTCTTCCCTCCATTCATGGACTGGTAATGTAACAACTGGGCATTGCATTAGTACAGCAATAAAGGTTAAGCAAGCCTGTTAACATTTGTCACTGTATGTAACATATATTAATTTAATGTTTTTCAATGGATTATAGTTGTGATTGTTATGTATGCCTTATGTCAGGTTATTTGTTAGTTGGCAGCTAACCATATGATGTTAGTTAGGTCATGATTTACACTCTTGCATGCAACTAAACATCCTTTTACTAACCATTTATACCTCTAGATCACATATATATACTGTAATTTGGTTTTCAAATAATTACACTCAAAAAAGGGAACTGAAAGTTCCCACTTTACACATTTGCGTTGTTCCTTTGTCTTGACTGATCACATGTAGTCAGGCAGAACCTCTCCTGGTCTGAGGCTATCTTTGATCCAGCAAACCCATTTGTAGTCTATGTTGTCAGCCAAATGTTGTCAACACTTGTATATAGTGACTAGTTGGGATTGGTGTGTTTATTTTTGCTTTTTTGCTTTATTGTGAATATATACCTTGTACCAGAGTGAATGCCAGCTACCTTGTTGAGAACTCCAACATCCTTCAACCTTTACCAATAATACGGTAACTTTGTTCAGAGTTATAAATTTTATTATTGATTTGAGTTCCAAATTGATAGTTTTGTGAATTTTATGAGACTGAATTAATAAATTGGCTATCATTTTTCCCTTTTCGGGAATGGTGGCCCATGAGGTAATTAATGTAAATTAAAGCACATTAATTAACATAGTTGATAACTATATTTAATTATTATTATATCTGATAGGCATTTTAATACTTTGAACCAAGAGTTTCCAGTTGTATGAAGGTGCCGGGTTTGTAAAAAGCATGTTAAGTTGCATGCAAGACCCTAGGTCTGTGTGGAGCATTAGCAGTAACATCAGCTAAGCTGTGGCAAAGCCAACCACCCAATAACCTGACTACAAAAGAGATAGCAACAACTCATTAAATAGTATCAAATCAATACATGTACACTGACAGACATTTAAGTCTTGCTGTGCCCAGTTGTTACTGTATTAGTCCATTAATGGAGGGAAGAGATGCTTTGTTGGTTGACCATGGTGGATGAGCAAGGGTGGGAAGAATTGTGGTTCCAGTGCAGTCTTTGTGATGCTGTATTCCAATAGTGCAGGTAAGATGAGGATGGTGAGTCTTTGTCATTACAGAGTTAGTAGATTGCCATTTACTCTGCTTTGTTCTCCTTTGCTTAAAATGCAAGCTTGCAGATTTTGTGTCTGCTGCAGGCTCTAACTTGTCTATTCTACTCTGCCACTAAGAAGATTTCTGTGTCTGCTGGGAGCAGACAGGGAGTTACATGCAGAGAGATAATATCTGCTGCTTCATGTCGCAGAGGTGAGAAGAGAGTAGGGGCAAGCTGGCCCCTTCGACCAATGATCCTTTTTGCTGGGGGTCCCCAGAAAAAGACACAAATGAGGAGAAAGTTGCTTCTTTTTTCAGTTTGATGATGTCATTGGGTCGCATGCCACAGTGGCTAATGGTAATTGAATGAATGGCTCCCTAGGCAGCCAACACATAAATGTGAAAAGCAGAGAACTCATTCATTTGGCTGTCCTTTGTCTGAATATCAAGGAGTTTCAGCTGCCATTTAAATAGGGCTAAACTTACAGGAAAAGCCCTCACATGTCCAGTTTAAAGTTGCATAAATGAACAAATAATTTGCAACCATTTGTGAGTGTGTTAATTAAAATTTCCTGTGGTTGCATTAATGTGAGTGCATGATGTAGACTGAAGTGACATCTAAATCATGTAATTGGGTCTAATGCAGGTTAAATATACATCCACAGGTCCATGTTGTACAAGTATGGTGTATGAGATGTCTGTATCTTTACTGCGCTGCATTTTTACAAACTATAATAATCTGGTTACATTTGTCACTGCGTCCAGGCATCGTCTCACTCCGTCTTCCTCTTCTTACTCATGCTCATACTCATGCAACAACTAGCCTAAAAGTAATTACTTCCAGTAATTACTTTTTTTTTTGTCATTTCAAACCAATCTTTATTTTATATGTTTTATTTCAGAATCAGAAAATATATTAGACACATCTTCAAAAATAGTTACACCATCTCTTTTATCACAAATGTCCTGTATATGCCATCAGATTGGTTGGCGGAGTATTTCACAACTCTAAGTTTGTTGTAAACTGTGTCAAGTAAACTCTAAATGGAAAAAAAGACAGCTAGCGGTTTAGCAGCAGTTTGTTTTCTTTGCATTAGTGATTATTACAGATGGTGGCACACTTTGACATCTGAACTGCAGCATCTTTAACCCAATGCCCTGTGTGCGCAGTAATTACTTTTAGGCTAGTATCAGCAGAGTGGTTCAAGCAGGAAGCACCGGGTGTTTTTGCACATTCAGTGTGAGAGATTGTGATGTTTACTACAATTTCAGTAATATCTGCTATCTTATATTCGACACAGTGCTGCTCCCTCACACAGCAGCAGTTCCAGTCTCTTGGCCCGTCTGTGTCACAGCAGCTTTGGGTGTTAGTAGGCTATCACTTTTGCTGCATAACCAGTTAGATAGTACTGTGGGCAGGCAACATATTCCTGAATATTATGCTATTGGATATGAAAACAAATATTTACATAATAATAAACAATGTTTTCACAGTTTGTTCCTTGGATGATGGTGATTTGACTGAGACCACGCTTAATTGTGCCTAAAACATTTTTCTGCCCTTTTGTTGTTGTTTTTTTGGTAAACACATTTTGTTTTGCTTGTTTTGGCACATATTTCATCTAATCTTCACCAAAATTGGTACATACCATATTCAGATGACCCCAAGCATATTAGTTCATTTTTGGGCATCTCCTTTTGTTTGTCTGGAATTGGTTACCAAATTTCAAAGGCATGGCTAGATGCAGTTTTTAGCCCATTATTCTAAACAATAAATTGGTTGTTATACCACACAAGCCACATTGCACAAATGTGTAACAAATTATACAATTCTACACATGGGGCACTACAGTAACATTACAACATGATACTTGTACAATTCTGTCAGTTTTAATAAAATTAATTCAGGTAAACAAGTTCTCCGTGAGCATTTGCATAACATATTTAAGTATGGCACTAATAGCCCCACCTTTTGGCCATTGGGAAAACACCACCATGCTATTAATTAACTGCCATATCTCTTAAATATAATATTTCATGGTAACCAAATTCAATAAAGATGTACAGATGTGGATGCTAAATAAGTCTGTAGCAAGCAATACATTTTCACCTGTAGGTGGGGCTAAAAGATTTGAAAAATTGCTGTTGTAGCAGCAGCTGCAGCTGGGAGCAGAATCAACCCCAACTAATGAGCTCTCACACCCATTTTCTTCAGAAAATACAAATATTATAGTTCATAAATACAACCTTTATTTAATCAGATCTCTCTCCAGCCTGAGAGATCTTTCAGTCCAGCATGTCTGATTTGAATTGAGCCTCTTATGATAGACTTGACTGATATCAGCAGCATCAGTGTTGACATGAATAGGTGTATGTATGTTATGGTAACATTAGGATGATGTCTGTAGGAGGCTGGCATTATGATGATTCACATCAACACAATGACAAAGTCACTACTCATTTTAGTGAAAAGCTCATTGATTAGGACATAGTAATGTTGAAGTACACATTTAAAACCTGAACACAGCTGATTAGGTTGTAAGTGGATTTTTATCTATATATTTGTATGTAATTTGTTCTTTTTTCAGATTGAGTTACTGCGGTTTGTCAGAGATCAGCTGTGTTTCCCTGGCCTCAGCCCTGAAGTCCAACCCCTTCCATCTGACAGAGCTGGAATTGAGTAACAACAGCAAGCTGCAGGATTCCGAAGTGAAGCTGCTGTGTGATTTTCTGGAGAGTCCACACTGCAGACTGAAGACTCTGAGGTCAGACACCATTCTTTTTACTTCTGTGCTGAGATTGAAATGATGTGAAAGTTGTGGTGACACTACATTGCAGACATAAGGCTGATATTATACTGATCAATACTGAGTATCGTTTTACCAAAGTCTGTACTTGATTTTCATCTTATTTTCCCCATCAACTTTATTTAAATAAATAATAATGTAAATCCATAAATAAAATTAACAATGAACCTCTATATTAACCCTTTAGGCGCCGGAGTTTATTTAAGAAAATATTCAATTTTCATTTATAGATTTCAAAAGGCTGTAGCTTGAAAGTTGTGAGAGATAAAGGTATACTGTAAATGAGAAAACTATTCATCATGACCCAAAGTTTGTGATGGGAGTAAATTAACGTATGTAATTTGCATATTGTGACATCACTAGGTGGCGGCGGCCATATCTGATTATATAACGCTTAGTAAGACTGAATTTTGAACAAACTTACACAGTAGATTTTTTTTAAAAAAAAAATTTATTTATTTTTTTTGTTTTTTTTTGTTGTTGTTGTTTTTTTTCTACTTGTCTGCATTGGTCTTCATAGCTTAGCGCCACAAAAGGGTATAAGCTTCTTGTGAAGATTGATGCACTGTTAATCTTGCAGTCAGGTATTTTATACCCATAATGCGTGGTTGTGACCGTCACCCACCCTCCCTGGAGACTAGCCTAACAGCCTTTATTGGAAAAACTTCCTAATATGAGCCAGAGAGGGCCGTGATACACCAAAGTGTGTCAAGGGGAAAGTAAGGAAACAAGCAAGGGGGAGGGGGCAGGTGCTTAAGTCCTGAGTTATATAGTGACAGTGCATGCGGAGAAGAAGGAGGAAAAAGAAAAAAACAAAAAAAAAAAACAGGGGAGAAACAGGCAGTGTAGCTGATGTATTGTGGCCTTGAGGTGGTTGTGCTCCATACAGATTATCAAAAATAAACATATACATGTCTACTATACTGTACTGAAAAACAAAAACAAAAGAGAAGTCTATACTGAACACCAAAAATGTGAGAGTCTTGGTGGAGGGGGAAAGCCTGATTGTAGAGAAGAGTTGCCAGCGCGGTGTTGTAGGTTTGAGAAGCAAGTGGGCCCCTTTGGAGTGGTCAAAGGGGCCCACAGTGGTCAAATTCTAGATTGCAGGGCTCACTTGCTCACCCCTCCCGTCGGGTAAATGACGGTGGCCTCGTAGGGACAAAAAGCCTTGCGCAGACACGAGTTTTTCAGGAGTAGGTCTATCTAGCGACGAGGTGAATGTTTATTTAGAAATCTAAACCTTGTTACGATATTGTAATGAATCCCTCTCGAGCAGGAGACCGGAGTAGCGTTCGGGAAAAAGGCCAGTTTATTTGAGCACTCCAAAAACTCCGGTAACACTCCAGGGGGTAAAAGACTCCGTCCCAAACTCTGACTCTTCTGGCGTAACACACACACTTCATACACACATACTCGTTTACAATACCTAGCGGGGACCCCCCCCCCTCTCTGCTCCACCAATCTCCAGCCCGCACACTGACTGACCGCGTAGCCTGTAAACAGAGCTCAGCTGTTTATTTAGCCTAGCAATATCTCCGGATTATAGTAGCTGCAATGGATGACTTTGAACACGATTTTGAAGAGTTTCTTGTAGCGGACACAGATCCAGAGCCATACCTGTTTGAGCCAGAGTACACAGATGAGAGCCAGAGTACACTGAGCGGGCGAGAAGAGAGGCTGAATCCTCCACTCCCATTTTGCTGCACAGAATGGGATTCGGTGCTACCATCGTTGGGGAGATATATCATCAAGAGGAAAAGCGCCGCAGAGAGTGCATCACAAGGAGTGAAGTTGCATCTTCTTTTCCTCGCAGATGACGGTTCGGGTTCATTCTCTCCTGTTGCGTGGTAAGTGTGGACCATTTGCAAACTTTATAACTAAAAAACTTTTCACTACTCTCCATCGACGAACTACTAACACTCTCTGCTGTTTCCTCCTCCTTCTTCCTTCCTCCCGCCGTCTTCGTTGGTTTATTTATACACGCAAAACGCGTTCTCTGGCTGGCTGGATTGTCCGCTCAGGCTGCCTTACATACATGGCGGCGCAAGATGGCGACCTCTCTAAAGCAAGGCCCTTGCTATATATATATATAAAAGCATAATTATAAGGCTATGAAAACCAAACAAATTTTATTTTATAGCGATTATACACTTATATAAACATATTAATGGGTAGAATATTCAGATTCAGATTCAGATTTGACAATAAACCATGCCAAATATTACACACTGGCCCTTTAAGGGAAAGATATTCTTCAGTATCATTGCCTGATGCTTGATGGAGTTACTCCTGGAGAATGCATTTATTGACACTGCTGTACAGAAGGGTGGAATCCTAAAGGTGCCAGGATGCATCAAGTATGTTTGAGTTGTCACCCAGCTGATTGTGGAGGCTCAGGAGGGCAACAGTGACCTGATAGTACTGTGGCTTGACCTTGCCTATGCCTATGGGTCCATCTCACACAAGTTGGTGGAAACTTCACCCGCCTGACACCATGTTCTAGACAAGATCAGGGACCTCATCCTAAACTTTTACAGCTGCTTTAGTTTGAGAGTCATTTCTGGATCAGTGATGTCTGCATTTTATTGGCTGGAGAAGGATATAATCACTGGGTATACTGTCTCAGTGATATTGTTTGTCTTGGCTATGAACATGCTTGTGAAGTCAGCAGAGGTCCATCCACCAGGTCAGGTGTGTGGCAGCCCCCATTAGAGCATTAATGTACAATCTGACAGTGACCACAGCATCGGTACCGGGCTGCAGACAGATCCTCCAATGTTTCGAACGCCTCATCAAGTGGGCGCGGATGGGATATAAGCCAACCAAGTCCTGATCCCTAGTTGTGAAGAAGGGGAAAGTAACGGACAAGTTCCATTTCTCCATAGGAGGAGTCCAAATCACGTCAATCACAGAGAAGCCGATGAAGAGCCTGAGAAAGGTCTTCAGCAGCTCCCTAAGGGGCACAGCCCCAATCCAAGAAACCGGCAGAGAGTTAGGATCCTGGCGGTTTAGGACATCCCACTGACCATTGTCAAGGGCTTTGAGAGGAAAATAAGCCACTCTCTCTGTGGGTCTTTCTCGTAGCTACAGCAGCATTGCCTTATGTGGGAGTAAGAACAAATTACAACTTCCCTTCAGTGGCCTGTCAGAAGAATGTATGCTTTCCAGGGCAAAAGAGTTGCAGCTGTCCTCCCCAGCCCATCCAACTCCAGTGACATCAAAGTCTTGTCGGCCACCATACAGGTGAGGATGGGTAGGAAGTGGAGGGCGCAGGAGGCAGTTGACCAGACAGAAGTGCGGCTGCGCAACAGTGTGCTTGTGGGGGCAGTTGCATTAGGATGGGCAGGACTTGGCAGCAATACAACAAGGCCCGGGAAAAGGAAAAATGTCAGATGGTCCAGAAAGAAATCCAAGCAAGGGTTGAGGAAACCCGCACCAGCAGGATGGTTGGGATGCAACAGCAAGAGGCGTGGACTCGATGGGAGCAGGCAATCAACCGGATGCTCTAATGGCCAGAGTTGTGGAAAGCTCCGGATTAAATTCCAAATCCAATTAGTCTAAGATGTCCTCCCCAGCCCATCCAACCTCTTCTCCTGGGGCATGGCAGAGGTGACGAAGTGACTGCTGTGCCCGAATCGAGGATCACTGTGACACATATTTACAGTTTTCATTTTCTAAAATTCGACATATTAAACCTTTTTAGAACAGATTACTAAACACTGGATGATTTCAAGCTGGAACATTATCTTCTAATGTTACATGTTGTTTCTTTATTCAGATTGTGGGGCTGCAGTTTGACGGAGATAAGCTGTGTTTCTCTGGCCTCAGCTCTGAGGTCCAACCCCTCCCATCTGAGCAAGCTTCAGCTGAATAACAACAAGCTGAAGGATGCAGGAGTGAAGTGGCTGAGTGATTTTCTGGAGAGTCCACACTGTAGACTGGAGACTCTGAGGTCAGATCACCTTTTTATTTCTTCTGTGCTGGGAGTAATATGATGTGAAAGTTGTGGTGACACTGACATAAGGCACTGATTACACTGAGTGTTTTTATGCTGAAGTAATTCCTATGTATATATAATCATAATCATTAATGATATCAAATAATATGATTTAATATACATGAAATCTGTGGGACACCACCTTCTGATATAGGAAAATAATTGATTAACTCAGCCTATAAAATATACTAAACAATCAGTTTGGATCTTACCCACTTTCCAGTTTGAAACTTTGTATGAAATTATCATATCAACAGTAGAGACTGAAGAATTTCGAAGTTGTAAACACAGCAGAGGTTGGCATGATTAACTTTTGTACAACATTATACAGACTTCCTATATATTCCAAAAGTATTGACTCAGAAAAATAATAACAGCCAAACGCACAACTTATCCTAAACAAGTAGAGAGGGAGAGGGTGACCACATGTTCAGTCACAAATGTGTGAAGTGGGGACTTTGAGTTCCCTCTTTGAGTTTTGTTTTAAAACCAGTCAAAAGTGAGTGTATTAGGTGTGTGATCTGTGTAGACCACTGGTGCAAGCTTAGAAAGAGGATGGTTAGTTTGCATGCAGGACCCTGTGTCTGTATATGCATTAGCTTACTAACATCAACTTAGTGGTGACAAAGCCAACTACCCAATTACCTGACTACAAAGACAACCAAACAATAAAACTCACTGATTAACAGCAAATCAATACATTGACAAAAGTTAAACAGTCTTGCTTAGTCTGTACTGGTCTCATCAGGATATGATATCATTTTGATTTTTTTTCAAAACGATACGATATATGCAGATATTACAAAGTCTGCCATGATACAATCTCGATGTGATGCGATTTAGGGGCCTGCGATCGTTATGAGACAATATTATATGCCCATATAACACAGTCTGTTACAAAAGAACCAGCCACCCCTTTATATTTTGCTTTTGGCCATAAAAGATGAAAAACAACACATAAATGAGCAAGTGTAACTGCTTAAGTGCAGTTAAGTTTACTTTACTCTACTAACACACATAAAACAGCATATGGAATAAGTTACACTTCAGGGCTTCACTTCACTTCAGATCTTTTCATTTTAACCCAAACCATCATCTGTTTATAAAACTTCAGGTCCATGTGGCTTTAGACCCTGATGGCAAACTTCTCCCAACAAAGAAAAGGAAAAAAGCCTGCACACTGCTCCAAGTCACAACTGTGGTTTATTAGGACAACGTTTCGATCCCTTCTGGATCTTCGTCGGGTCAAACAGTGCTCATACGATGCACACACCAATATTTATACATATCTTTTTGCTCACCAATGAGCTGTCAAAGTGATGACAGGTGTGGCCAAACATTAAAAACACTTATGTTGTTTTGAGCATCTCCAATGAACCAATTTGGCAAAAATACATGGAAAAGGTATATAGAAATGCGTAGAAAAATACATAGAGACATGGATAGAAATATTAACTCAAAAAGAGTGTAAGAGCACATTTGGCCAACATAGAAAAACTTTTTAAAAATAGAAATACAATATTTTTAAATACAGAATTCTTCAATATTCTTCAATACTTTTGAATACAGTATGCCATTACAACCAACCTGAAGCATAAATTGCTCCCCTTCATTATCATTTTTGAGATAATTTATAAAAAACTGACACCTCTTAGGATTTTTTTATATATAATATACAAAATTATTTTAAGTCTTAAGAAGAAAAATATATTTAAACAAAATGTTTGATATCATACTCCTGGTTTAGATCTCAAGGACTGAGAGTCTGAAGGGAAAAAATATAAAAAGATTCTTTTAGGAGTAAAAGGTTGTTTAGATCCCCTCCTCTTCTAGGATATTTAACGTGCTCGATGCCGATATATCTCAAAGAGGCCACTGAATGATTGGCCTCCTTAAAATGTAACGCTACCGGGCTACGTTGGTCCTGAGTTCTAAAATTGCTCCTGTGTTCTGCTATTCTTGTTTTTAGTGCTTTTTGGGGTTTACCCACATATGCTAAGCCACAAGGGCATTTTAGAAGGTAAATGACATTTTTAATGGAACAGGATATAGTGCCTCTAATCTTCGTGGTTTTGCCTGTTATTGGATGGTTATATGTGGCGCATTTGTGTGTAAAGTTACACTGTGTGCATGCACCATACTGATAGTTACCTGGTGGTGGTTCTAGGAAGGTAGCATTCTTAGCCGTCAGATTTGACTAACATTTGCCTTAAGCTCGGAGGACATTTATACACCACTGTGGGGAGGTCTTTAAATTCATTTTTCAGTTGTGGGTCAGAGCTCCTCAAACTTCTCCCAACAGCCATAAAACATGACTTAACAACATCATTTAATAGTAATAGTAATAACTGTAAATAGACAAATAAAAACAATTGTTTTTGCTAGTGACCTGTTATTAGCTTTTGCATGTTTACATTGCATAAATTGGCCTTGTGGCTAGAAATAAGGGCTTCCAACCCACCCCCTATCTGTTACACATAACACTGATGATTAGCAGGTGCATAGGTACCATTATGGCCCAGTGAAACACCCTTCACACACCCACACCCATTTTTACCACCAGTGACTGACTGACTGACAGGTGTTGAACCCAAATACATCCCTTGCTCCTTGAACATTTCCCAGTTGAAATATTGTAGATTACAGTATTTGACACCTTAAAAAGACATTGGGATCTTGACTTAAATTTTAATTCAGTTTCTGTGGGTTTTGATGATGGAGCTACTGCTGAAATCGGCAGAGTTTAAGGCGCGAAGACACGCTGTCTTTATTTAAGTTGCAGCACATTGTCATTAATATCAGTGAGAGCTCTTTTTCACTTTTTGTATTTTACAGTTTTTAACCTGCATCCTGTTGAGTTCAGCTGTTTAGAGTTTCCATTTTCTGAACTTCTACATATTAACTCCTTCAGTTTTGAACACATTAAACATTGACTTACTTCAAGCAGTCTTCTAATGTTTTATTCTTAATTCAGATTAAGGGACTGCAGTTTGTCAGAGATCAGCTGTGTTTATCTGGCCTCAGCTCTGGAGTCCAACCCCTCTCATCTGACAGAGCTGGACCTGAGTGGAAACAAGCTGCAGGATTCAGGAGTGAAGCTGCTGTGTGATTTTCTGGAGAGTCCACACTGTAGACTGGAGACTGTGAGGTTAGTTAACAGGCTCTTTGTTACTATTGTAAATCTTACAAGTTTAATTGTGTGGACTCCAGGAAGAGTGGTCATTACTGTGGTAACAACTAATGGGGATCTCAAATAAAGAATAAAGAAGAATGAACTGAAACTTAATTTATGTATAACTACATACCATTCATAATTTACATGCATAAGGTTGTGAATTTCTTGTATAGATTTAGTCTGCAGTCACAAAAGATCTCTGTTTCTTCAATAAACTGCAGAAAAGGTCCACTGTTAATTGTTAACTAAATTAATTTTAAATGTTTGTGATATGGTCACATCTGTATATAGTATGTCATGGAAGATCATCATTTACCTGCTAAAATTCAAATATTTCTTTTTTTTTCCCATTAATTTCAATGTATTTTCAAAAATGATGTCTGATCACTGATACTGATTAAGAACACACACTCACTGCGGAATTGGGAGCATGGCTTTTGTCCTCAGTTTGCTGATTAAAGACCAGTGAAATGTCTTCCAGAGGTTAGCCTAAGTCATACTGAGAAGGGAGGTGGACAGTATGATGACTCACCTTAACACCATCATCATCAATTTTATTTATAAAGCCCAATATCACAAATCACAATTTGCCTCACAGGGCTTTACAGCGTACGACATCCCTCTGTCCTTAGGACCCTACGGATTACTGTGACAAAGTCACTCTACTTATTTTAGGGAAAAGCTCATTGATTAGGACATAGTAATGATGAGCTACACATTTAAAACCTGAACACAGATCACTTATTCTTCATTCAGATTGAGTGACTGCAGTTTGTCAGAGATCAGCTGTGATTCTCTAGCCTCAGCTCTGAAGTCCAACCCCTCCAATCTGACAAAGCTGGAGCTGAGTAACAATGACCTCAAGGATTCAGGAGTGAAGCTGCTGTGTGATTTTCTACAAAGTCCACACTGTAGACTGGAGGCTCTGAGGTCAGACACAATTTAATTCTATTTTTTTATGTCCTGAAATTAAAATAAAGTGAAGTTTGTTGAAACACACACCAAACTTACTTACAAACAATACATGATATTTTCATTTTGTCTTCTAAAGTTAAATATTTTATGCTTTATTCAGATTGAGTTTCTGCAGTTTATCGGGGATCAGCTGTGTTTTTCTGACCTCAGCCCTGAAATCCAACCCCTCCCATCTGATAGAGCTGCAGCTGAGTGGAAACAAGCTGAAGGATTCAGACATGAAGCTGCTGTCTGATTTTGTGGAGGGTCCACTGTATAGACTGGAGACTCTGAGGTCAGTAGAGGGTTGGGGTCAGTCCATATTGAACCTAGTAAGCATCAAATCAAAGATCCAGTTTTACTTGTAAACCTACAACTTTCTCAGTGGCTGCTTTCCTGTTAGAGGAGAATGGTGACAGAAAGACAGAGAGAGAGGGAGAGAGAGAGAGAGAGAGAGAGAGCAGTTAGCGAATTAGTTCAGCTAGATGCTTATTGTGATCATGTGTTAGAGTTGATGTAAGGACGACTGTTATTGTTGTGTCCATGTCTCCAGGAATAAAGCTGGATGACAAATTCCAAATATTGTCAGGGATAGCCTTCATATCTATTTGTCAGATGGTATGTCAACTCAAGCTCAGTGTCAGTGTCAGAGAGCTGAAAAGACTCCATTTAATATTCACTTCTGTCAAGTCATGTACAACAAAAGCACAAGCACAATACAGCAAGTAGCCTAGGTTGTTATTACAATGGTCGATGGTGATCTCCCTCCCTCCATCCAGCTGCCACCTTATTTAGTTTTTTGTAGTGAAATAATAAACCTTGTACAGACAATTCCTCATTTCAACTTCATGAATCAGCTGTTACTTGTCAATTGTGACATTTTGAAAGGAATCATCAGGAAAACACAGAAACAGAGCATCTGACCAAAGCTCTGTTCAATTATGTTGTCATATTGCCTTTTACTAAAGCGATACAAGTTGGATTTAGGGCTGTGACACCATCAGCACAGGTTTCTGATGAAGGCTACTTTTTCACCTGCCAGAGGATGTCATAATGACAAATGCAGGTTCAGCCAGTTTGCATTAAATCTGACCAGTTAAACTTCATATGCTAAACCAGACCAGCAAAACCTGAAATCGACCCATCTCTACTGACAGCTGATGAAAGGAGTCTCTGTAAACACTGATTCATGACTTATGTTATCTTTCTTCTTTTCTCATCAGATGGGAGTGAGAGTTTCATCCAACAGTGACTGAAAGAGGAATTGCAACAGCCCTCACTTATGGAACTAAGATACAACAGAAAACTGGGCGTACGGTCAGTTCCATGCAAAGCCTGGCATTTATCAGTGTGGACGTGGGTGGAGACTACCAACAAATCCCATGTCAGGTCTCATCTTGTGTACGTCAGTTTAAGTCAGAATGAACATGAGTGAGATAAGCTATGTTTGAGTTATGTCTTTATTGTGTAAATTAAAGCTTTTAAAAAGACCCAGCACTATTGGTAAATTGAACTTAACATTTTGGAAAAAAAAGGCAGTTTAGAACAGGCCCAAAGTTACCGATGTAAGGGAGGGGAGGGGAAACTGAACATACCCTAGTGAATGAGCGGACAGCCATGGCAAGCACACCTGCAGACAAGGGGTGGACAGTAGATAGCTATGGTATGCATATGAAAACCTTGCCAAACAGTCAGCATTTCTATTTCCAGCTCAGAAAAGTTTTTCTTCTTGGCCATATTATGCCTCTTCATGTTGGAAACTCTCAGGGCGGGGCCTTTAAACCGAGAATACATTGTGGCAGGATCTATAAATGACAACTGTCCATAGCAGTCAGAATTATCAACACCCTATCATTCCCACACTGTGATTGGCTGGATAAAAATGTTTAATAAATCACACGCAAAGCCTGTCGTAAGATGATTTCTGTTCTCGGATCTGTGCTGGTTTGTACGTTAGTTTGATAAAGGAGGGCTAACAAGTGGAGATGACTTGGTGCTGCAGTCTGAGCTGCTCTGAGATCAACTCCACTGATGTCAAGTCCACCACCATCCCTATGTGTTCCTCTGGATCAGACTGAGTGTCATCAGCTGCTGCTCTGTCCTTCTGCAATGACTCTGCAGACACACTGAGACTCCTCCACTCCTCCTGTTCCACACTCAGCCACCTCCTCCACTCTCCACCTCCGGCTGGATCTTGGTTTAGGTGCTGGTTTTTATTTAGGTTTTGGTTTCTGAAAGTATTCTGGATCATCCACAGCAGGGGCTTGTTTTGGAAAGGTTTCTGATTTTTTTTTTATTTTATTTTGGTTGTATTAAAGTTTCAGTTTTATACCTGTCTTTATGCTCTGAAACATGTGACCATCTGTATCTGTTAAAACCTGCAGATTGTTACTGTTAATGGAACTAAAACTGTCCATTTACATTTAATTCAAAGCTCCGGTGTGTTGGATTTAGGGGGGAATATTGGCAGAAATAAACATAATATTCATAACTATGTTTTTATTAGTTTATAATCAGCTGAAACTAAGAGCGTCAAGTTTCCATACCATTAGCATGGGATGTTCATATCTACATATGGAGCCGGTCCTCTTCCACAGAGTCCACCATGTTGTTCTCACAGTAGCCCGAAATGGACAAATCAGAAACTGGCTCTAGATAGTGCCATTCATGTTACCGTGTCAGCCACCACTTGGGAGAAGTTTAACTTCTGAAACCTCACTGCTAGATACCACTAAATCCAAAACACTTGACCTTTTATGTGAAAACATCAGCAGGCTGAAGTGGTGTAAACATTACAGGCCTTACTGTAGCTTTGTGTTGTTCATCCATTGTGTGGAATAAAAAGATTGCACCTAGTTTCCACACTATAAATATGAATGTCTGGATATCAGAACACTGGACTTGCATGTAGGAAGAAATGCAAGTTGAAGTATCATTCTTAAAATACTACATTTTTTCACATATGTGTTGTTTGTTGTAAGTCTGACAGATCATATCATAGGAAGAACCAAACATCTCTTGAAATTAACAGCCCATCTCACCTGCTTCCTACATAATACATGCCACCAGGGGCAGCTCTAGAAAAATATTTATGGGGTGGAAAGAGGGGTGCAGGAATTTTTGAGGGGTGGCAACATATGGCAGACGTATATATACTGAATTTAATCACAGTTATCACAGTTTGATGAGAAATAGTATGTTCACAATACATAAGGGCACAAGCTGCCATTTACAAACTCATACAGACAAACTTAATCTCATGCAATCAATGTCTTGCATTTGAGGTTTCATGTGAAACAGTTCATATTAGGAATAAGTGTTGAAGGAGATTCAACAAACACTGAGTCTAACCCTGAACTCTGAGTTGATTTACCCTGAGATGGGAAACTCTGAGTTATCGGTTCCAGAACAGCTGATTTGAGTTAGTTCAGTCAACTCTGAGTATGTTCACTCTGACTTAAGCTGACAATAAAAAGCCATCATCAATGGAGCTCCAACTCCACGATTCACCATGGCAACAGGTAAATAAAAGACAGCGCCTCCATTTTAATCCAGTGGATGAAGAAATATTAATGCAAGTGTAGCAGACGGTGCACGTTTATCTTTAAAAGAAAAGCCTGAGTCAGAGCGAGGAAAGTGTAAATAAGTTAACCATAAAGTTAATAAAAAAGTTTTATTCAGAGTTGTCTGTTTATTCATCATTTATCAGACTTACATAATTCTTAATGAAGATAAAGTGGTGGAATCTGACTGTGTATCAGGCTGTAGATGCATAGGCTACATTATATTAATTATATAAAATAATATATTTGTTCAGATTTAATCTGATGGGGAAAAACACAGGAGGCAGCAACTGAAAAATAGGAAGATTTAAAACATATAGGCTAGGCTATAGATCAAAGACATAAAGACATGACTGTAAACTCACAGTCTGACCCAGTAATAATATGTTTGGTGATTTGCACCTGAAAAGACGTTGAGGTTAAAATACAGTAGATTTGAAAATGTTGCACATCTATTTGTATCTTGACTCAACAGCATTCAGTGACTTTATTTCAGATACAAATGTAGTAAATTTAAAGACACTGAAATGCTGCACCATTGCTCACCCAGAAATATTAACATATAATCCCCAATATTAGGCTATAGGAATTATGTTCCATTAGTGCGGCAAATGACATCAGTGATAGAGATCATTAGGCATTGATACTACGTGTCTAAAGCTTCATACCGATTTTTAAAATTTAAATAATTAGACCGACACATTATGTGCAATAAACATTTGGGAGCTGCTCTAACAGACTGACAGTCTGATCCTTGTGCACAGTGTTATAAAAAAAAAAAATATATATAAAAAGGACAGAGGTTTGATTCTGAGCTGAGGGTGAATTCTCGCTGTGTAATATTTGAATGTAAAGACAAAAACCGATGTCCAAAGAAATGATTGATGTGCATAAACTCAGTAACTTCAGACAGTCCTGAGTAACAAACTAATGTCCAGCAGGATTTAGACTGTGACAGACGGTAAATCTCCACTAATTAATGTGCTTCGATACAAGCTTTGACACAGACTGAATGAATGAGGAAATGAAACAGCGTGTAAGAGGGAGGAGACAGAGAAAAACTCAGGGTTTATTGAAGAAAACCTGTCAGCGAGCAGGTTATGTTCACAGAGTCTGTTACCATGGTGACTGACTCAGAGTTTCAGTTACCTCTCTTTCTGGAACGGATAACTCAGAGTTTCCCTCATCTCAAGGTTAACTTACTCTGAGTTTTCACATAACCCGCTTTCTGGAATACCCCCTCTGCAGATTCACTTACATGAGGTTTCTTTTCAGATTGCTCATCACCTAAGCAGTGAGGAACAAAACCACAAGAAACACACGAGTAACAAATAAGAAAAAGAAAAAAAAAGAAAACAGAGTATGGCCCTAATCACACAGAAAGCATTTTGGCTACAGGAGGCAGTTTTTTGTATTATTTTTTAATGAGCATGAAGCTCTTAGCTCACTGTTTTTACATTGCTATGTGCCTCCATTTCTGTGTTCTAGGCGCCTGGTGTTTTTGCCGGAGCGCTCTGAACTCCTCAAGTTGAAGAAACTTCAACTCAAAGTGGAAAGGCACCCCGCGTCATCTCCACTTTTTGCCCATTGTCCAGTGGGATGATTTGAGAGGCGGGCTCTGTAGTGGTTGTGACAACAAGTTTACAGTTGGTAAACAATGGAGGATAAACTGCTGGTACTCCCCATGATCCAACCCTCTTTTTAAGGGTCTCATGTACCCACACAGATCTCCATTTCTCTGTGCCCAACAAACTACTTGCTGACAGCCTCTCAGCCTCAACCAGAGCTACAGCAAGTACCCTCTGCCCCTCTGTCTATTTTAAGAATAAGATACTAATTAGTGTGAAATAAATAAAATAGATAGATAAATGGTAGATTGATTACATGTGAAGGTTAGGGTAAGGAAGAGATTAAGTGGTTGTCTGACAACAATAAAAAGGCGCAGCAAGTGTTTTTTTAACAGTGGCATTCTTTTTTTTTATAAAAAAAGGCAGTGTGGAGCGCCTTGCGTTTTGCAACCTGCAAAACGCTTTCTGTGTGATTGAGGCCTTAGTGACTCCAGAAAAATATCTGGTGTCCTGCAAATGGCAACAACTGAAAGGAATTAAATAATCTCAGATATTTCAGCATTAATGTACATGTGAGCTTTAGAGTTTAGTCTCCTTACAGTTTGTCAACCAGAGAGTTGACAAGTTTATTTTTACACTCTGAAAATTCCCAAACACTATCTGATTCACTAAAAAATAACCAGATAAACAAAAACAGAACACAAACACACTCTAAGACAGAAAAAAAGAAATGTTCAGATTAAAAATTTCAAACTGAATGAAAAAACACAAAAACTCACCTAAAAACACCTTAACATATATTTAAAAAAAAACAAACTGAAAAGACTGTGGTACAAACACAGTCCTTGGAGTATTCTCAAAGCGTATCTTTGTGTATGAACTCCACATTGATGAAACATCCTGTCTTTGTGCTAAAGTCTCAGTTTTAGGTGAGAAGCAGACATTTTTAAAGTATTAATATTTTTCCAGAGGCTATATTTGAAAAACGTATGCAATATAGATAAGCATGCTGTTGCTTTCTGATCCTACTTTATGTTTCCAGTAAACACCTCTATGACAGGGAAACTGTGTCTGACCTGTCTGACTTCTTTCATCTTCCAATACTTATAGTTTATGGAGGTGCTGTCCAATGGAGCGGAGCAGGAAGCTTGCAGTTTCCACAGTCAGGAACAAAACACCAGTCATTTTGATCCATTCCTATCCAATGCTCTACTTGGTCAACAAAAGTCTAGTGCTGTGTTTGTGGAATCAGCTATAGCTAACATTATTTTACTATCTAAATAGCCAGCTACCAAACCATAATATGCCGTGCCTGTTACTAGCTGCAACTAATCTTATGAGTTTTCACACTAAAGTAAAATAGATTTAGAAAGTGACAGCATGTTTTTTTTATATTGCAAATGTTGCTGAGAGTCTTGGTCCATTCATATGACCACTGGCAGGCAGTTAGTGTTTACTGTAATGACGCTGCCACCTAGTGGTTTTCCAGCGTGCCCTCATATTATGCCCATACATGAGCAGATTGCAGTGTTTTGTCCATCATGTGATTGAACTGGTATTCATCTGAAACATGAGACTCTGGAGAGACCAGAGAACATTGTACTAAATGTCGGACTGTTCCAGTACTACTGATCTCAGCTCTCAGCACTGTTATGCCTCTGTGCTCCCAGAAGAAAAAATGTAATTTGTTTTGTTTTCTCTTTATTTCCTAAAATCAAGATTCCTACTCAGATTTTCTCTCGTCTTTTCATGTGGATGATGGTTTGTTGATTTGGTGAATTTGGTAATAATAAACTAATAAATTAAACTTAATGTAACATCAGTTTTTATTCTTTTGCATTCAGTAAGGTAAAAATCATAAACTTACTGTTATCAAAACTAATGTGAAAGTAAATGTATTATGTTAATCCTTTAAAGGGGTGGTTCATATCTTTTGAAATAGGGTTAAAAAGGTCCCTATCCATAGTCAATGTATTACCTACAGTAGTGAGAGGTTGGTATGCCCCCAGTTTGGAGAAGCAGGCTGGAAGTTAAACACTGCCCTGCTGTGGATGAGAACAGCAAAACATATAGACACCTAAAAAAATCTATATCAGTTAAGTCTCCACTATAATGAGAGTATTTTCATCACTTGATCTTACCATCAGGCAGTAATTTCTGATCAGGAAGCCCTTTACAGACATCATTTCCATAGTTATGCTCTTGTCAAGGCCACCAGACTCCAGTGACAAAAGCAGTAATTTTACACCATTAGAACACAGGAACTGCTGATCTGCTACTGTTTGTGTTATTGTGTGACTTTGGTGAATCTAAACTAACCCTTTAAAATACCAGCGCCACACAAAAACACTAACTAACTA